CAACACTAAGGTTGAATTTTTTTTTTTTGAAAATTTAAGTGAGTGTGTTTTTTACTAATATGGCAATTTGAGAATTTTTTGTTGTAGGAGTTTATCAGTCAACGCGGCAAGAACTAAATAGTTCAATAAATAGAGTAATGTTTCAGTTGGTATCCCGAAAATTTGCACATCGGATCAGTTCTTTTAAAACAAATGTGTGGTGCAGTTTAATTTATATTACAATGAATCAAACATACAAAATGTAAATTCGTAAAGCACTCTATTAAAGAAAGACCTTATACAGCTTATAATCTTAAAAAAACAAAAACAAACAAGCATCATAACATTCATGTAGTGATTGGTAGGTTCATACACCATTAAAATTTTGTTAGCGAAGGGATTTCGGCATTTTATACCATTAACTTGTATATATATATATATATATATATATATATATATATATATAGGATTGGTGTATACGGAATAAATTCCAATAACCAATAAATACTATTCTTAAAAGAGAGCTCAATACAGAGTAGAGTAATTATAGCATAAATAGAAATGAAACAAAAATAGAAACAAAATGGCTATTTTTGTAGTGATTTTAGAACATATTTATGTTATAATTTTCGAATAGATAATAATATATATATATATATATATATATATATATATATATATATATATATATATATATGAAGAAAAATATACAGAAAAAACAAACAAAAATCTTAATACTGTATTAATGTTAATATAATGTCAACGTCGGACGTTTCGGTCTATTTTAGACCATCATCAGGACATATTCATAAAACATAATTAACATTAGAACATATACAAATTCAACATGAAAAAGATGATGGACTTAAGAGCACGACTAATCCAAACAGATAACTGAAATTTTTATATAAGATCAGCGTTCCGTTTAAATATGATTTTTGTTTGTTTTTTCTGTATATTTTTCTTCATACTGTCGGATCTATATCCATATTTGCTTACATATATATATATATATATACAGAGAGAGAGAGAGAGAGAGAGAGAGCTCAAAATGTTTGTGTACGCTTCAGCTGGAAACACTGGAAATTAGTTTAAAATACAAAGTTGGATTATTCGTCCAAATGTTACGCCAGACGGTGACATTAAATAAATTCGGATTGGCATTTAACACCAATTTGCGTAGAATATGTCACATCGCCGAGTTTAAAGTGTGATTCCCACGCATACATTGGATTGGCAACAAAAAATTTATTCAGTTTCTCGGGATACCTGGGGCATCAGTGATTGTCACCGATCTTCTCCTTCTTAGTGCAACGGATGAGTGCAAAACCCTCGATAGAACTGGGCTTAATAATAATAATAATAATAATAATAATAACTACTATCAGTCCCATGATGCTGTGGTCGCTGGGCCGCTATGCAGCTGATCGCCGGGATAGTTACCTCGAAATATCTAGGTTGAAACCCGAAGAGTTATTCATTCACGTGTAGCGTATCTTGGGCAAATAGGCCTGTTGGACCCGTGCCTATCCAGGTTAGACCACGGTCGATGTGCTCCAACTTCCAGGCTCGGATTGGTAACGGACACGTGCTGGTTGATTCCGTCACGGTAACCCTCCGCCCTAGATGTTGACTTCAGTTTAGCAATTTCTCTACCCAGCGACATCATATCATCACCGTCAGGAGTTCAGTCTTGCTATAATGCCCGTAGAAGCTCGTAGTTCTGGTGAATAATATTCTAAAGAAAACACTGGAAAAAAGATTAGTGAAGAAAAGGTTTAATCGCATGGATTAATAATACAATAATAGCGAATCTCGTAGTCAGTGCGGCAATGCGTACGACACACTTTGTGACCCATTTTGCTTCATCTATTCTTATGAGCGGACGTTCTGCTCATAGTGGGTGAACGAGTCTATTTCCAAACAGTTTAGTGTAAAGTAGGTCGGGCTGCTTTCTACACAAGTCTTATGGGCAAACTTAGCCCGCAGTCAGTTGACTCTTGCCATAGTGACCATCTCGAGGTTAAACTTTCTAGTCATCGGAACCACTACACAAGGAGTTGCCAACATAGTTCGGTGCCAAAGGTAATGAAATAAGTTTCTTTTTCTTTTTTTAAGAATAGGTTTGCATAATGAATGAGGCTTTTTCATACATTTTTCTGCCCTGAAAGCGGTAACGTCCTTAGCATTTAGAACACAGACTGGGGCAAAGGGAATTAAGCAAAGATTGAGCTTTTGAATTGTTTAATGTTCAACATGAATTTATCTAATTTCCTTTACTTGAGACTTATAGTTACTTAGATATTTACATTTTAAATTTACTCTTATTTAAAGTGCAAAGTAACTTCTTTTGGGGCTAATTTTAAAAATTACTAGAGGTGGCCACAAATGTTCGAACTGTAATACACACACACACACACACATATATATATATATATATATATATATATATATATATATATATATATATATAGAGAGAGAGAGAGAGAGAGAGAGAGAGTGACCCAAAAATCCACATCATTTTTTTAGTGTAATAACATAGCCACTTTTCGCTCAAATGATCTCAAATTTTAGCAAAATTTAATCATAAAATTCCTTTTTCTTTTCGTTATAATAAAATATCCAATAACAATCATGTCTTACATTTTATTGACCATGTATAATAATTTTCTCTTATATAAAGTACAAAGGAACTACTTTTGGGGCTAATTTAAAAAATTACCAGATGTGGCCTCAAATGTTTTTGTATATATATATATATATATATATATATATATATATATACACCCCCTCACCCCCCCCCCAAAATCTTTAAATATACGAAGGAAAAAAATGCCGTAAGAATTTTAGCCGTTAACAATATAATTTTTATTTAAAAAAAAACAGACGACACGCTTTTAATGGATGTTAGATTTCATTGAAAAATACATCCCTACCCTCTACCAAAACGTAGCAATAACTGATACATTAAAATATAGACATATTGAACACCCAGACACCCCTCGTCTAGAAAAATAGATTTATCTGTGTTGAAACTTGATTATGCATGGAATAAATTATGCAACACAAAATGTACTTAGAACAAAATGTATTGAAACAAGAAAGT